ATATATATATATATATATATATAACACAATATCACAAAAAATCAGGTAAATCTTTTACAAGAATTTATATTTTCATATAACGCATCGTTTGGGTGACATTTTGAATTCGTATATTGAAATGAAAAATATTATTATATGTGTGTATATTTATATATATATAAATATATATACATATATGAAAAATACTTATATAATTTCGAAGAATATTATTTAACAAAAAATAGAAATAAAAAAATTCATTATTACCTTGAAAAAAAGTTATATACCAAATAGACAAATTTATCATAATAATAAATTGCATTCTATGATAATAATTTATAAACAATATTTGCATTTATTTTATACACGCCTATAGTATAACATACGAGGGCGTTTATATGCGCTCCTCCCTCCACCATAGTAGTATGTATACATATCTAGGCCTACATATATGTATATATAATATTATTCATATACAATGTTACTAATCACATTAAATATAAAAATGATAAAAAGAGAAAGATCATGTAAGATAGGTTAATGATTGTGGTGATGGTTGTTGGTGGTGGTGTTTACCACCCTGTTTTCTTAAAAAAAAAAAACAAAATACAATAATAATAATATCGTCATAATTCTCAGCCATTACTTTTCTTTCTTTTTCATTTCCTATTTTTCACATATGTTCATTAACATTCCTTATTCGGTCATCGTCATTATTACTACAAACAGGATATTATTTTTTTTCTACCGTGAACAAAGATATTTTTAATATGTATATTGTCGATCTTTTTTTACGTGCTACCCATACACAGACAGATAGCAGACACATGAGGCAGAAAATAGTAATCTAGGCATTATTATTATTATTATTATTATTATTATTATTATTATTATTATTACTATTATTATTATTATTATTATTCATCTTCTTTTCTCTGCTTTATTGTGTTTTTATTATTTCTTATTTGTGTGTGTGTTTTTTTTTTAATTTTCTTTCTTCGTAAAGTTTGTATTTGTGTGATACATTCTACGTGTCGTTATTCAAAAGGAACTTCGATTGAACTGCTTATTTCTTTTTTCTTTCTTTCCTGTGTGTAATTTTTCTTTTTCTTTTTCTTTAATTACTTTTCATCTTCTTTTCTTTTCTTTCTTTTCTCTCTCTCTCTCTCTCTTTCTTCTTCTTCTTCTTATTTTCTCTCCGTTTATTTAATATTTGTAATGAAAATTAATCTAAATCATGCACAATTGCAATATGACAATTAATTGTCGTCTATTATTATTATTATTATTGTAATAAGTAGATGAATTTACAAAAAAAAACAAATAGAAGTGAATTTTGTTCTCCGTTTGTTTAATTTTTGATATTGAAGATGAGATAGTTGGAAAAAGATAAAACAATGCGTGAGAGAAAATGATTGTATCAGTATTGGGGAATAATTATACTCGAAAGGTTCAACACACCCTTTTGAGTTTAATGGACGCATATATGTGTGCATTTTTAATAAAAGTTCTATTGATTAATGAAAATAATAATAATGTAAATGTTGGTTTTTGTTTCTTGTCATATGAAAATAATGTAAGAAACAAAAAAAAACTAATATATATATATACATATATATTAAATATAATTGATTATTAGATGCGTGGTGTTTTGTTAGAAGAGTAAAAAATCAATCAATGACACACATACGCTCAACAAAATACCACACACTAATAATAAAATATATACTATCATTAAAAACAATACTTTTCAGTTAAAAAAAAGTAATCAATACACTCGTAGGATTAAACAAAAAAAAGAAGCAAATAAAAACGTTCATTTGATTATTCGAACGCGATGTTGTTTTAAGCATGGGGGCCGCATATATGCGTCCGATGGTATACGAAATACTGATAAAGATAGAAAGAAAGAGAATATAATAGAATGAATGATTGGACTGAGAGAAAAAGAGAGAAGAAGAAGAAGAAGATGAAGAATAAGAAAATAAGAAAAGAAAAGAAAAGAAATTGTAGACAGAGGATCAAATCCTCCCATCATTTTGTGATCATTTCGGTGCGGAGGAGACTAATAATACGCATATTATACTCTACGGGTGTCTGTGTGTGTGTGTGTGTGTGGTGTGTATATGTGTGCTTAATTTAATAGTTATAAGATTATTAAATGATAATTATTTCAAATGAAAATTCGTCAAGAAACGTGTAAATACGTTAGAATAAAATCTTCGGGGACAGAGTTCGGATCTGTAATTGGCGTTATTTATTGTTGTAGTAGTAGTTGCAGTAGCTGTTGTAGCCGTAGTTGTTTTTGTTCTTGGATTAACCGGTGTTAAATAAGGCCTGAATAGTTAGGGTTTACTGTTATCGTTGTTCAATGATAGCGGATCGGTAATTATTTTCTGTTGTTGCGTAGAGGGTTGTTGATTTGTTATTTCACTGACAGCACCGCCGCTCATCAATTTGGCATTGTTGTTTTCGGTATTAGTTATTTTAGCGTAATCACGTTTCCGTGGCAAACTTTCCGTTTTAACGATGGTTATGTCAGGATTGTTTTCTAATACCGAAGTAGCTGCTTTTGGTACCGCCGTACTAGGTATTTCCAAATAACCACCACCCTCTCTTTTTATTGTCGTCGAGGTTGTTGGTGTAGACGCTGTTACCGTACTAGCATTGATCTTTTGAATAATATCGTTCATCGAATCGTTGTTCTCCTGTGTGGTTGTGGTTGTTGTTGTTGTACTGCTATTATCATTTCCCTCGACGTTTACGGATGATGCACTTGCATCACCCGCCAATGAAATCCTTTCGGCACCTTGTAACGTTGATAAGTATGTTGCCAATGTGTGAACCGTTACGTTAAGGAACTCAGCTGCTCGGAACAATGTTATCTCTTTTCTTCGTAATTTAGATAATACCTCGGCTGGTCCTGGTTCCGACCAAAAATCCCTTACCCTAAAAATGAAGAAGAACAGAAATTTATTATTAATATTTATTGTTGATATAATACTGTTAATAAAGCAATTGTTGTACAAATGAATTATTCTTATTTTGGTCAGAAAAGAAATCAAACAACAATCACGAACAATTTTTACAATTTGTAGTCAAGTTAAATTATTTTTGTATCGTATAATTATTATTTAGGAACGATAGTAATTGGGGTTTATAATTCTTGGTTTTGTTTTTTTAACAACTGAGAAATCCAATCCCCGTTTTCTTCCCAACGAAATATATTTGTTCAACGATTGATATTTGTTCAATTGTTAGTTTGAATTCTAAAGGTGAAATGTAATAATTAGAAAGGATTACTACCAACCTGTACGGGTGTTTAAGGCATCCATAACTGTCACGATATCTCCCATAGAGAGTCCCGTAAGAAACGCCGAGTATCTCAGCAGCAGTCTTCATTTCTAACTCCTTACTTTTGATGGCATCCATGACACGTCGCGTGAATGGTTCCTCCCAAAATTCTTGCCGGCGACCAGTCGTCAAATAATCGTTCATCCTAACCACGTCTCGAAAATTGTCAGGTATCGATAAATTCGCGGCATTAGAATTCGGTTGTATCGTTGGGGCTAAATCAAACAAACAAACAAATCAAATTAAACACACACACACACATTTTTCATCAAATTTTTCTATACTTTGATAATATTTTAAATATGAAAGTATCATTGGTGGGGCCACCCCCCTTCCCCAAATTGATTAATCGATTGATGATTTTTCTTGTCAAGAGGGGGGTGGGGGACCTTTAATTTGCATAAATAAATATATCAGGAATAAAAATTAAAAAACAAAATGATTTTCAATTATTTAGGATTTACCTTTTTTTTCCTGATCGGCAGCTGTAGTACTGCTGTCCTCTTTTTGCGGATAGGGTGCCTACAATAAAAAAAAAAAGAATGAGATCAGAAATAGGGGGTCGGGGGGGGGAGGTTCGAATTTAACAATGTCATCGGATTTTTTATTTTATTCGTAACCCCCCTCGTCAAATTAAAATCGATATTATGTTTGTTCGTTCGGTAAAAGTGGGCAATAAAAGAAAATAATAAAAGAAGAATGAAAAATCTGCCCTTGTTCTCCTCAGCCCAAAAACAAAAATGGAATAAAAAATTAGAAGAAGAAGAACATTGTTTGTGTTTGTTAAATAACTTTGTTTATTTGTCACTCATCGAATTTTCTTCACTCTCATCTACCTCTAGGTTCTCTTCCTTTTATTCAATGACGAAAACAAGTGAATTGATTGGTTGGTAATTGAGAAGAAAAAAAAAAAAAAAAAA